GCCAGAGTTTCTCTGGACCTGCAGTACCAGGGCTCAGATCTGGGTGATTGCCGAATGTGCTGACACCCCTTAGCCCCAGCAGAGCAGCCTGAGGCCACCTCAAGCCCCCGCTGCCACACACACCAGAACCACCCCAGGAGCACAGGGCCGGAACCTTAGCACAGGCACCTTCAGATACTGCTCTTGCACAGACTCCAAGGTCATTGTGGAAAACGTCATGGTTTCTGATATTTTCCCACGTTCATAAAGGAACTAAGGATCAAATGTAACAGAAAACCTTAATCTGATGTTTGTTAGTTCTTGTTCCTCTTGAAATTTCTTGAGGAAAGAAAATTGTTTCATCTCTGGAGACCACGAGCATGACTTGTTATTACTTGTTATTACTAGTAGGTATAATTTACATGCATATATATTTGAGTATATAATTTACACAGTAAAAACTCTCTCTCCAAGTCTTCCCCTCACTGCCCTGGGCTTTTCTTCGTCTTATTTCTCATGAAGACCTGAGCTCTCTGTCATTCTCCGAGGCTCAGTTTTTCCATAGTGCTCTGAGAGGAAGCGCTTTGTGACTGTGTAAATCCACTCATTTGTTATTATTCCAAGGAGGAAGGAGAGGGAGAGAGAAAACGAAGGTTGATAGGAGGAAAAAAGGAGTAGGGTGGAAGTGCTGCAGACATTCATAGTGTTAGGGTAATACCGATTACAAGGATACATGGGTACTAGCAGTGCAGTCAAACTTTGTTGAACACATTAGTTTGAAATACCTAGGATGCTTTCCAAATGTGAAGGTTTTACACCTGAAATTCTGTCCTTTAGTTGGGTTTGGGACAAGGCTTACTGGCAGAATAAACCAATTCTAGAAATTTGATCTTCATGCACATTTGTCAATATTGTTTTTTACAAAATACATAATTATGTCATAGGCATTGATGACTTGCCACCCTTCCCTGGGGAAGTCAAGACCCCAAGGCTGTGACGTGGAAGGCACTGTCACTAGCCTGCTGTAGGTGCTTGAAGGGTAAGCAGACACCACCCCCACGGTGCTCATCTTTCCCTGTCGTTTCACCTGACGCTGAGCATGACGCTCCCAAGCCCCTGTCCTCCTGGGTCCCATCACAGATGCCAGTAGCCTCCAAACCCAGCCATATGCTGCCTTTTCCTGACTACCTGAGTCTGCCGTGATAAACCACTTTGAACCTTGAATTCTTCTTACGTTGTTTCTGAAGTCTCAGATTATTCTCCAAAGGCTTTTTTCTCATCAGCCCTTGTCTTATCTCCCAGTTACTTCTCTGCATCTTGCCTAATTAAAAAGCAACTTCTTCCTCACGTCTCCTCTCCACAGTCTTTCCCTTTAATGGTTCTGAACACCACGCGAGTGCTGAATGAAGAGCCTCTCTTAGGCAGTGGCCACTACTGTTTCTGTGATCAGGATTTAGCTCTTAGGCTGTCATCATCAGGAACTGACATGTACGTTCTTCAGTGTCCCCCATACATCACATTGATTAGAGCTCTGAGTTGCAGTAACATCAGAGATTTAATATCTTCTAACCAGGTCCCTTGTGCTGCTCTGAGTCATGTTCTACACACCCTGGCCATCACCCTGTGATGGCCAACACTACTGACATCGAGAAAGTCTCAGCCTGGTCCAGCGTTGACAGGTACAGCTAGAGAGGCAAAAATTTAAATCCATTATAAATCTCTTCATTTGAAATTTTAGTAGGTCATTTTGGCATACCGATAGAAGATTTGGAAAGGGGCTGGCAACATTAAACTAGAATATTTTAAGTTCTTCTAAGCCTTTATACCAATTTATCTTTTTTATATATTCAAACTCATTAATAGAATTAAAACTCAAGGAAGAAAAAATAATCATTGTAATTTTAAATGAGCATTCAATGTTAAGTAAAAAGCATTTTTGTATATGTTACCATAGTTACCAAGCAGCTTTCCTGTGGTCCTAGAGAAAATGGGCTCCATCATTCAGAGTAGTTTGAAAAGTGCTTCTGAGGGAAGAAAGAATAGAATGGTCCAGGAACCCCCGTCCCCTGCCCGAGACAGAAGCAGGAAACAGTACTGGAAGAGCTTTTTGACACTGAGTCTGTGTTACAGAGTCCTCCACTAAACAGTAACTGTACTTGTGAGTGGGAATTTTCTTTCCGCTGTTACCTATAATGTGAACCAAAGTAAGTGGTTATCAGAATTATATTCAAACTTTAGACGTCTACTGCTACAGTTTACATGGGGTGTTGCTATCTTTGCTCAAGGTTTTAAAACTTTAAGCAAATGATAGACATTTCTTATAAACACCAACTGTATCTCAAGGGAATTAAATCAGGCTAAGACAAGGCTGAAATTTCAAATCTGGCCAGGCACAATGGCTCATACCTGCAATCCCAGCACATTGGGAGTCCAAGACAGGAGGACTGCTTGAGGGCAAGAATTTGAGACCAGCCTAGACAACATAGCGAGACACTGTCTCTACAAAAAAAGTAATTTATAATTAATTAGTCTCATGCCTGTAGTTCAGCTACCCAGAAGGCTAAGACAGGAGTCTTGCTTGAGCCTAGGAGTTTGAGGTTGCAGTGAGCTACAGTTGTGCCATTGTACTCCAGCCTGAGTGACAGAGTAAAGCCCTGTCTCTTAAGTCAATCGATCGATAGATAGATAGAAGAGAAAAATCTAAGGAATCTGGAAATGGCAGTTTTGAACTAGAAGGAAAGTACATCTATCTCTGTATCTGTGCCTTTGATCTTAATAGTATTTATTCAGACTTAATGTAAAATTTTAATAATATTTAATGGATTTCAGACTAGGTAGAGGTTGAGTTTTATCTCATATTTTGCTGAAAGATTTTCTCTGGCAACTAGGAGGCTGCTGGATCCCACCTGTGACTGCAAAATAATTCCTATTAAAGTTGCTCCATGTAACTGGGGGAATTGGGGTGGAAGGGATGGAGAGAGCTGAATCCTGGATGGTGGCACTGAGCCAGCGAGCGCAGTGTGTGAGAAGAGCAGGAGGAGGTGAGGTGGAGTGGACGTTTCAGCGTGTGGGAAGGAGTCGACTTCTGAAGTCGTCACAGTGCGTCCTGGACAGCTTCCTGCCCTCTCCCCCCACTCAGACCCATGCTTCTTTCTCCTTCCCCAGGACTGCCCTGACAGGAAGCCTCCTTTTCTCTCTCCTTCCAGGGGTGCCCCTGCCCCACGTCAACCCCAAATCTGCCCCCACAGTCCCATGTCTTCTTCTGTCCCTCTTTTCCCCTCCCTGACCACTGGACCCTGCCCATGGTATGTTTAGGTCCAAGGAAAGTCCTATAGGAGGTCATTAATTGAACTTGAAGAAACTGATAAAGCCACACATAGAATACAATTCAAAAAACTCATTAAAATGTATTAAGAGGGAGGTGCCTGTGGCTCAAAGGAGTAGGGTCCCGGCCCCATATACCGGAGGTGGTGGGTTCAAACCCAGCCCTGGCCAGAAACTGCAAAAAAAAAAAAGAATGTATTAAGAACATTTAACATTATATTTAGATAATCACTATTCATAAATACTCTTCCACCATAGAACTTTACTAAAATAGTCTGAAGGTTGATGGACATTTAGGGGGGGCCTTTTTGGTGTGGAATAGGCCTCTCTTCCGGTAGCTCTCGCCCTGTGGCTAAGAACATTCTCAGTGTGTGCCCGCCCACCCCAGCTCTGCCTTCAGAGTCTTCTATTTCCAGTTACATCCAGTAGGTGCAGCTGTGGGGGACAGGCTCAGGGATTATTCAGGGAAGTGGGGGGGGGGGGTTGGTGGGTCAGCTGACCAGCAGGGAGGTCAGACCCTGGGGAGACACCCCGCCAGCTCCTCCTAGTGCCCGTGCAGGCCGTGGAGGCTAAGCACATCGTCCGTCCTTGTCACTTTTCTTGTCCACCAAGTCCCACATTAAATAGTTGCCTTTCCTCTACTCTAAAAACCAAGCCTTCCTATCATCATATATTACAGGCCATTTGTAGGAGCAATGCAGCCCAGGATCTTTAGAAGCAAGTCCTCCCGAGAGGGAAGATTCAGGAGGGCAGCACTGTGGCCTGCTCCACTGCTTTCTCGGCCGGGTCCGTCCTAAGTAGCAACTTGAGCCGTTTCTCAAGACTGATGATTTTGCCCATTATGGAGAGACTTCCGTCTCCTGGCCCAGGGCCCGCTGTCAGCACTTTTGTGTGGGCAGTGACCCCATTTCTCCCTTGTCTTTACTTTCAATATTTTTCCTTTGTTACCTTGAATGTATCCTTGCAAATCACCATGAGACCATTTTCAGAATAAGGCGGGGTATAAATCTCATCTCAGATGTGCCTGAAAAGTTTTATCTGCTGATAAAGATTCTCCACAGCTGTTAGCAACCTAAACACTATCAAAACAATGTCATTTTTTGGTGGCTCCATTTTCAGTTTCAATCTTGCCTGCGCCTTCTGGGACATGTAAAGTTGCGACCAGAAAGTCATGTGGCTGTGCCGTCCCTGCTGGTGAATTCAGTCCAGCTGATTAATCATCGTCAACCCAAAATAAGTGGTGTCCTAATTGATGTGCTTTCTGGGGAGCTGAGTGCTAAGTGGTCCCTGGGGCTGCCTGCCTTCTCTCTGTCCTGACATCCTCCTAATAGTGAGAGCTGCTGCCTCAGCTCCTTCACTCCTCCAGAGCCAGCTGAAATACCCTAGTGCTGTCATCTGCCTACTGACTTTAACGATTATTTGGATTGATTTTAAAAGGCCCTTGTAAAAATGCACTTTAAAATTAAGTGATGAGCAAGCTCGGGTCGGGGTGGCGGTGTAGTACAGAGGAAGCAACTGTGATTTCTCTGCGCCGTCTCGAACCCAGCATGGGACATGCCGGGAGGGGCTGAAACTGAAGCATAGGGACAGGTTTGTTTATGAAAGCCTCGATCACAGCAGCCCACCCTCTGTGTTCACAAAGATAAACTGATGGTCAGGTAAGGCCGCACAGTGACCTGTGTCTGCTTCCTGTGAAGGTGGACGTGGGCGTGGTGCACTTCACCCCCTTGATACAGCCCAAGATAGAGCAGCCGTTCAAGCTGGTGGAGAAGGTCGTTCAGAACGCGTTCCAGTTCCGAAGGAAATACTGCCACCGAGGGCTCGGGTAAGAAGGTCCTTTTCCTTTCAGTGGTGGTTTTCATAAAATCCTCAGTCACTTTTTAAGATTAAGCCCTTTGTTTTCATGATTCATAAGGCTATCCGTGAATATCACCCTTTGTTCAAATCCTGTGATGAGCAGAGTTTGACTGCCACTGAGGAAAAGCAAAGCCTTGCTTGGTGTAACCTCAGGTGGCACTTATAGGCTGGTTTTGTCAAAAGTGCAGCCTAAAACTGGTGACTGCGCAGGTGCAGATGGCCCTGTACTGGGGTTTTCATTGACAGGGCGTGGCCACCCCACAAAGGCGGGGGGCATCTTCAGGAAACAAGGCCAAGCTTATGGTGCAGGGTCTACCTGCCTGGAGCTGGGGGAGCCAAAGTGACCCCAGTGGTACGGCATATCTAGTGAGAGTCAAGAACATAGTTAGGCCCAGTTATCTGTTTAAGGAGACAGGAAAGTGTATATTTTTTAAAGATTTCCATCTAATACAGTCAAGGTTAAGCTGTTTAAAGAGGCTCAGGTTTACAGGCACATTTTTCTCATTTTCTAAGAGCTCCTTACATAGCTTCGTTTTAGTTCTTTCTGGTGGTGTGAAGTGCCCGGTAACACATGACACTACTTCAGGTTTGGCGAGGCAGCTGCCCCCGGGACCCCTGGAGTCCACAGAACTTGTTCTTGAGGGTTTCAGATTGGTCGATGTTCGCTCCTCAGCCCACCACTTGTTGACCGTAATTAAGCCAGTATTCCTACCTAACCAGTAGTGCCTGCTGCTCCAGCCGTGATTTAAGATGCAGAGCTGGTGACAAAGATGCCATTGGCCATCATGGTGCTCAACAGAATAAAGGCACCCCCCCTCGGACTCTGCAGCCCCAACCAGGGCGTGCTGCCCGCTAGTAGGACACCCTCCACGCAGGGCTCAACTTGGACAGCTGTACGTGGTCACCCTGATTCGTGATGGGAAACAATGTATATCCTGCTTTTGGAAGTACTGGACTTGGCCTGAGCCTAGAGCTGGCCCTGATGTTTCCAAGGCAACCCCCGCACTAAGCCCTGGGCCCTGTTCATCTCTCTTGCACACAGTCCTCTGTAGAAGTATGGCTCAGGTAGAGTGACCCGCTTTCACTTGCTTGTGTCCTTCAGTCACACCACGCTACAAATCGCTCCCAGGTACTAGAAACCATCATCAGGCCCCCTTGCGTGCAGCTGAACTCAGATTGCATGCGCTCTCACTGTCAGGGAAGGGTCATGCAGCTCCTTGCTAAGAGGACCATCAGCTTGTATTAAACACTGTCTGCACTGCCCCTGACATCGTCCTAGCCTTGCAATGAACTCTGGTGCTTCTGAGACTTCAGAGAAGAAAATAAATCAAGGAGTAACTGCAAAATTTCACTGGTTTGCTATTCATTTTAAAACAGTGATTTGTTTTGTTAGATGACATTTTAAATACATACTGTAGCTCAGCACCTATAGCTCAGTGGTTTGGGCTTCAGCCACACGTACCGGGGCTGGCAGGTTCGGACCTGGCCAGGGCCTGCTAAACAACGACAACAACAACAAAAACACCTGGGCATTGTCAGAGGCACCTGTAGTCCCAGCTGCTGGGAGGTTGAGGCAAGAGAATCACTTAAGCCTAGTAGTTTGAGATTGCTGTGATGCCACAGCACTCAGTACTGAGGGCGACATATTAAGACTCTGTCTCAAAAGAAAAAAAAGTAAAATAAAATACATACTGTATTCAAAATCAGTTTTAAAGATGCTTCAGAAATATCTTAAAGAGGTCATAACTAGTTGTATTTTAGTATCAGTTGTTTTCTAACTTTACAGGAAAGAATGATAGAGTAACAAAACTAGAGATATGTCAGAGGAATGATACCTACAGGGTGGCCATAAAGTTCGTGAACACATCACGAACCTCAAAATGACACACTAAATTACACGTGAACTTTATGCCACCCTAACTTTCATATCAAAATAAGGCAAATCAAGCTTGTACTTCCCCTAAGAATACAGCTGGGCAGATGTGACTTTAAACTTCCTTTAAAGATACATGCATTGAGTCAGCTTTGGACCATCTTTCCCTGTGTGCACACACCTTACAAGCCAGGTTAGAACCACCTCCAGGGGCCTCATCCCTGCTGCCCTGTGTTGTAGCCAAAGATGCCACTCCCTCAAGTGTCGTTGTCAGGAACCATGTCATTTTCAAATGAAGGGAGAAGGAAGTGTCATCATTATCAGAATTTCTCTCTTCCCCCAGAATGCTATTCCCTGAAGCCCAGCGCGTAGGAAGCACGGGCAGGTTGTTACAGTGGGCGGACGTGGACCCCACACTGCGGCCCAGCCAGCTCTCCATCTCGCACTTTAAGAGTCTCTGTGATGTGTACAGGAGAATGTGTGATGAAGACCCGAACCTCTTTGCGTATAATTTCAGAGACGAACTCAAGCAAAGGAAGCGTAATACTCAGGAAACAGATGAAGAGGAGAGTCACAGAGTCTAGCTGCCCCTTTGTGGAGGACAGCAGCCTGCCAGGAGTTGATTTGCACAGTGTGGCACTTTTTATGGGAGTACACTTTCATCGTTACAGAATGACAATAAAAATACCAATAACCAGATGCAACTATTTTCCTTTTACTGTACAGCTTGGTAGAGAAAATAAATATCATCAAATAAGGTACAGTACAAGCTCTCTTTAATATATATACTGCATAGGAATGACTGGTTTAGTATAAACAGCATCTATTACAACCTTACAAAAATGAAGTATCTACACGTTTTGCCCCTAAACCACATTAAAATAACTTAAATATGCTTTAAATAAAGCAAAAGCTAACAGCTCAAAGAAAACGCCCAGAGAATTGAAAAAATTACCCTTTTAAAAGTTATTAATCACAACTTACCCAGCCTCACTTTTTCCACATAACTTAAAATAATTAGAATGCAATTTTATTTTAAGGATTCTAAATCGTTTTGATACCTGCTCAAAAGGGTTATAAACTAATTTACAGATTCTGAACAGTTCCATCACCTAGTTTTCTGATCCATAATAAATTAAAATAACTTAAATCTTTACAACTATTTTGTGGGAAAATGTATACTGTACAAAACCCAATAATGATGAATAGTTTTTCTGCACTTTCCACTTTTGCACAAGTTTAAAAGTAAAATGAGCAACTTAACCCATATCTAGATTGGACTATACTATGACTTTCCATGGCTCTCTGTTTCATAAAAACAATCCTCATTGACAACCGATGTTAAACTCTGGACACTGAATTCTCGCTCTAGAACAGAATTTAGATCCATGTTGGCATTTTCCGAATGACTGTCGAGGGACTGGTGACGAATCTGTGCCTTGAGCAGAGTTCCTCTGTCCCTCTTGGTACTGTTTGCTTTTCGTTTAATGGGGCAGAAGTGCCCGCGGACCAGTCTAGGCTGCTCCCCTCCTTTCCGACCCTCACCCACCTCGGTGCCAGGCTGTGGCTCTGCTGGGGGATGAGCATCGGGATCCTCAGAGATTCTCAGCCTCTGGAACTGAATCTCGATGTCTTTGGTAGGGCTGGCCCGTTTCAGAGTCTGATGGTAGTCATCATCTTCATCGCTCAGAATATCGCTCTCTTTGATGAGATTGTCCACAAGGTCTGCCAGGCCAGAGGGAGGGTATTTCCCGGGAGACGTGCTCTTGGAGTCCTGCCTGCTCTCGGCCGTGTGGCAGCCGCTGCTCTGGGTGCTGCTGCTCAGGCTGCACTCGTCCGAGTCCAGCGAGTTGCCCTTGCCCGTCTCGTGGGTCCATTCGCTGCTGGAGGAATTCTTGAGGACTTTCAAAGACCTGGAGGAAGCTGCAGTGAGAAAAGGACATTTCCCTTGTGATACAGAGAAAGGTTATGCCATATAAAACTTTTGCTTTGTAGGTTTTAAGATGTAAATCTGAATTAAGGTTTTATTTTATGATCTGACTTCAGTTACCAACTGTCCTGGTACAGAGGCCAAATGTGTAGGTAGTGCAAGCAGGGACATTTTTGACTTATGTTTATTTAAAATTAAGTTGGGGGAGTCAGCATTTTTAGATTACTGGAACTCAGTTATTTAGCTGAAATTAGAAACTTGTCTAAGGGCTTTAATTTTTTTTTTGGCCAATGAGTAAATTGAAAATTAATGTTTAATCCCAGGCCCCTTTCTTTTGCTAAAATACTCTGTGATTTGATAGTCAAGGTTATACCATAGAAATATGGTATAACCTTGTTTTCTTTTTCCCTTGTTGCTCAATTAAAAGTAGAAAAGTGGTCTTTCTATCTCTGAACTGCCTCTGCTGGGATTTCTAACCAACTCTGAGGCCTGACGCTATGGATGTTTAAGCATTTACATGTGTGTTTAACTCCATTCTCTTGGATTGGAAGGAAAAGGCAACTCCCTTTCTATGTTTCCACGGAACAAAGCAGTGCATAATTTTCGACAGCCAGCTTATTTTGACAATGGAGAAAATAGAAAATACACAGTAAATCTGAACAGGTCAAACTGATTTGAAAAGAAGTTGTACATTTTCTAAGACAAAATGAACAAGGATAATAAAATAGTTAATGTGAAAAACTTAGGCTGAAATTTTACATACATGCAGAAAGTTTAACAAGCAGAGCCCCAGAGCATTTGCTTCTATTACTGTGCACATCTGCCGAGGGACGTCAGGAGAGTGCAGTTGGTCTTAGCACATGTGATGTACCATGCTGGAAAATACTACTGGAGTAACGCTGCTGTGACAGTACGTGAGGTCTGGCTAGCATCCATGATTTTTCACTGTAAATATTTCACTCTTCTCTATCCTTTATGAACTTCTCACTTTAAGAATAAATGTGTTTGATATAAAAAAAATAGTGTGATCTGGACTGTTTGTTTACCTGCTAACTTATTGACTGGGTAACAATGAGTATACAGATGCTCCTTAACATCCCAATAAACCCACTGCCACTGTAAGCTGAAAATATTCAAAGTCGAAAATGCCTTTAATACACCTACGGAACAGCATAGCTTAGCCTCGCCTACCCTGAGAGTGCAGAACGCTTATTAAGTTTGCCTGCAGCTGGGCTAAGTCATCTAGCACAAAGCCTGTTAAAGTGTTGAATATCTCATGTAATTTTCTGAAAATGTATTACAAGTTAAAAAAGAATGGTCATATGGGCGCTGACAATGTGGTTTCCACTGAATGTGTGCTTTGCCTCACACTGTGGTAAAGTCACAGAACCATCAGAAGCTGGGGACCATACGGCGTAGATTTCTTGATCTTAATTAAGTGTTGACCCTCCAGCTGCCTGGCATGGTTCTGAGCACTCAGAATAAGTGAGTAAAACAAAGTCCCTGGACTCATGTACATCTTAGTGGAAGAAACAAATAAAGTTGTAAGTCTGGACTATGTCAGCTGGTGGTCAGAGGAGGAACTTGGGGTTGGGGTGGTTATATTTTATAAAGTAATGTCTGGGAACAAGAGGCATGTTTAGGTCTCTTAAAAGGAAATGAAGTTACCTCTGACGGTTTACAAAGTGATGACTCACAGCCGTAATACGAGAGCATCGATCCTTTTTGGGAAGCTCGTAATGTTTTCTTGAATAAACACAAGGCTAGCAAAATTCTCACCTAATTTGGCTGAAACAGGAACTCGGTTCTTAAGAGGCACCAAGCGATCCTTACATGTTTTCTCCAGTGGTAATTCACACTTTATGTGGCGCCTGAAGTTCTCCCTCAGAATGGAACGAATCACCTTCACCATGCTGGTCTTGCTCTCACTGTCACTGGGCGGGAGAGAACAGCGGCCATCTGCACAGTGCTGGTTGGCACCCGTCCCCGCCCTCTTGTGCTCCTGTGGCGCGTCGCTGCTTTGCCACACCCAGGCAGGGCTGCCCTCCAGCCACCAACCTGTGCACCAGGTCTCCCCATGAAAGGAGGTGAACTGAGCCTTCTACAATTTGGATATGTATTCATTTAATCAGTGTGCTCTCCTGCTAGAGCCTCAGTTACCTTTGAGGGGCCGGTGGAATAGGTAAGATGTCATCAAAATTCAGAAGGGCACTAAAAGCAGACTCTTCTTAAAAGACATAACTGTCTCTTATTTTCATTGGTTTTAATTTTTAAAAGTCAGTGATACCTGCAGCACAGCTGAAAGATGGTTTCTGGCCGTCCTTCTACTTCTGACTTCGTGTGGATTAGTTCCCATAGGGAATTATTTTCTGTCCCTGTGTAAAAGAAAAAGGAAACAAGAGTCTACAACTGTCAAAAATACTGTGGTTTGGGCCGCACCCGCATAGCTCAATGGGTAGGGCGCCAGCCACAGACACCAAGGTTGGCGGGTTCGAACCAGCCCATGCCTGCTAAAACAACAATGACAACTGCAACAAAAACAGAGCCGGACGTTGTGGTGGGCACTTGTACTCCCAGCAACTTGGGAGACTGAGGCAAAAAAATCTCTTAAGCCCAAGGGTTTGAGGTTGCTGTGAGCTGTGATGTCACGGCACTCAGAAAAAAAAAAAAAAAAAAAAAACTCCATCTCAGAAAAAAAAAAAAATACTGTGGTTTGTGAAGTGTAAAACTCAACAATTTAAAAAGTCATACATTCCCAAACCTGACTCTCATCATTTCCTTCTGTGGCTCATCCTACGTGCGATCTTCACAAATAGATAAACTGTGCCTGCTTTCTTCCTACCTCTGGACCCCATTTCTCTGGGAAAGAGGTTAAAGGGATCCTACTTGTCACCCTTCTTTGCAGTTTTGGCTGTTCCCTGCAAGAAACAGTGGGATGTGCTGGGGCAAAGGAAGTGTGCAGGGACCACCCCCTGACAACAAGAATTAAACAGGCCCAGAACGTCACTGCATGCCTTAGCCTGCTGGCCCTTCTGGCATGGTTCTGAGCACTGGACAAATCTCAACATCTTCCAGGGTCAAAGATTTATTTGTTTCTATATCACTTGCAGTACTACCTAAACTTAAGGAATTCTGGTGTGTTCTAAATTCGTAAAAGTGTAAATTTAGGGACCGCTGTTTAACACTGTTTTGAGAACTGTGTATGGGAAAAATAAGGAAACAGTAGAGAAGCATTTGGCAAAGAAAAGCCACCCACTGGCATTTAGTTTCTCCCAAAATTCTGCAAAGAAACATCACAACAACTTCTCTTGTCCTCCTTTCTTTGCCTACAAAAGACACCAAAAACTATACCACAGTCCTTTCCTACTTTTTCATTCCACAATTCCAATAAGTCTCTTAAAATGCTTTGTCTGGGCCAACACAGAATAGTTACCTGCTGTATTCCCCAGCCGGACTTGGAGTGCGGAGATAGGGATCAACCAGCGGAATTTAAATGTGTCCAAGTCAGCAGAGTTGTGTGCAGGCCGGGAATTCGAGGGCTGTAACATGAAGGCCAACCAAGAAAGGCATTAAAGGAAGCTCTGGGGCCGGAGGACTCGTGTGCAGGGAATGGAAGCTTAAGTCCCTGTGTGTGGGGCTCTGAGCAGCTGGGTGGGTGTTCAGGGCACAGAGATGAGTCAGGTTTACATTGAGTTCTCAGTGCTCAGTGGGGGAAGGCTGGAGTTGGAGTTTGGGAGCAGAGAGTTCTGAGTCTCTAAGCA